CAGTGTAGAGCTGGGGGCTGTGGGGACCCAGGAGTCGGGGCCAGGGGCGGGTGGGGGTTGGGCCTGCAAGGGCACCTCCAGCATGCTCAGCTCCTTGGCCCCAGGGGAGTGACGGCCGCTCTGAGTAGACCTGGGGTGCGGGTGCGTTGCGCGCCCCCCCACCCCGTTCCTGGGTCCAGCATTTGCTAAGGAGCCGCAGTCCTCCCTGCCACCGAGTGTGGGATGTTGTGACCCTGGGCCCCAGGGCACTGAGCTCTTGTCCCTCCACCTGAGGTCCCGCCCGGCCTACGAGGACATCCAGGCTTGCCCGGAGGTCCATCCCACCCGACCGCCCCTGCCCTGTGAGCCCGGCCCCAGCAGGGCCACTGCTGCCAAAGGCAGGCCCGGCCTGGGCGTCTGTGCCGCATCCCCCCAGCCAGTTCGGCCCTCCCCCTGGCAGCCCCTCCTGGCCCTGGTGTCCTGTCCCCTGCTCTCTTCCCACACTGGCCTTTGCTGCCTGTCCCCTCCCCAGGCCCGGCTCTTCGACGAGCCGCAGCTGGCCAGCCTGTGCCTGGAGAATATCGACAAGAACACGGCGGACGCCATCACCGCCGAGGGCTGGGCTTCCCCGACATCGACCTGGGTACGGCCGGGGGCAGGGCCGGGGCGGCTGCCCGTGCACACGGACGCGGTCGCCAGCGGGCTTTAACCGCCAGTCCCTTAGGGACGCCCACAGGCGCCCGGGTTCACTCCCCCGCACCCTGCAGACACGCTGGTGGCGGTTCTGGAGCGTGACAGCCTGGGCGTCCGCGAGGTGCGCCTGTTCAACGCTGTCGTGCGCTGGTCCGAGGCCGAGTGTCAGCGGCAGCAGCTGCAGGTGACCCCCGAGAACAAGCGGAAGGTTCTGGGCAAGGCTCTGGGCCTCATCCGCTTCCCGCTTATGACCATCGAGGAGTTCGCGGCGGGTAAGGGGACAGCCACCCCGCCAGCCCGGCCGGTGGCGCAAAGCCTGGGTGCCCGACAGCCACGCCCGTGTCCCTGCCGCAGGCCCCGCGCAGTCGGGCATCCTGGTGGACCGCGAGGTGGTCAGCCTGTTCCTGCACTTCACCGTCAACCCCAAGCCCCGCGTGGGCTTCATCGACCGGCCGCGCTGCTGCCTGCGCGGCAAGGAGTGCAGCGTCAACCGCTTCCAGCAGGTGGAGAGCCGCTGGGGCTACAGCGGGACGAGCGACCGTGTCAGGTGGGCACTGGGGGTGCAGGGCGCTGCGGCGCGACAGCGACCCTGCCTGGTGGGTGCGGGCCGCACAGGCTTCTGGGCGGGGGTGGGGCGGGGGCGGGGCACAGCGGGACAGAGACCAAGTCACTGAGTGGGCAGGAGCGGGCCCTGGGCTCCACTGGGACCACCGCCTACAGCAGGCGGGTGCAGGGCGAGGCGCCCCAGGGCTGCGCCTGCCAGGAGGCCTGGGGTGCAGCTCAGCCAGGCTCCCGGTCACGTGGTTCGCTGCGCTGGCCCTGGGCGCTTCCGCTGCGGACCTGTGCCCTGCCGCCGCCGCAGGTTCTCCGTGAACAAGCGGATCTTCGTGGTGGGCTTCGGGCTCTATGGATCCATCCACGGGCCCACTGACTACCAAGTCAACATCCAGGTGGGCCCTGCCTCCCAGCTGCCGCCCACACCTCCCGGACCCTGCCCACTCCGGGTCATGCCCTGCACCTCCCAGGCCCAAGACCTCCTGGGCCTCATCTGGATTGCCCAGGCCCTGCCCGCACCTCCCAAGTCCCGACCTGTCTCTTCCAGGCCGCGCCTACACTCTCAGGCCACGCCCCACCCAGGCCACGCCCACCCAGACCCTGCACTGCTCCTCACTCCCGCAGGAGCGTCCCCAGGGTCTGCCCGCACCTCCCAAGTCCCGACCTGTCTCTTCCAGGCCGCGCCTACACCCTCAGGCCACGCCCACCCAGGCCCTGCCCCGCCCCACACAGGCCCCGCCCACACTAGACCCCGCACTGCTCCTCCAGCAGGAGCGTCCCCAGGGCCCGCCCACACCTCCCAGGCCCCTACCGACCCCACCCTGGTCTGCACTGCCGGCCCTGGGCTGTGGGGGCACCCAGGCGCTGAGCTGCCCTCCCACAGATCGTCCACACGGACAGCAACACGGTCCTGGGTCAGAATGACACTGGCTTCAGCTGCGACGGCTCGGCCGGCACCTTCCGCGTCATGTTCAAGGAGCCGGTGGAGGTGCTGCCCAACGTGAACTACACCGCCTGCGCCACGCTCAAGGTGCGCCCGCGTGTGCGCCTCTCCCAGCTAGGTGCCCTCCCGGCCCGGTCTGACCTGTGCGCCTGCACATGCGCCTGCACTGCACCTCGGCGCTCTCCGGCCCAGGGTCTGACCTGTGCCCACCTTGCAGGGCCCAGACTCCCACTACGGCACCAAAGGCCTGCGTAAGGTGACCCACGAGTCCCCCACGACGGGGGCCAAGACCTGCTTTACCTTCTGCTACGCCGCCGGGAACAACAACGGCACGTCTGTGGAGGACGGCCAGATCCCCGAGGTCATCTTCTACACCTAGGCCGGCCAGATCCCCAGGTCACCTTGTACGCCTAGGCCGGCCAGATCCCCAGGTCACCTTGTACGCCTAGGCCGGCCGGGGCGCTGCCCGCCGTGGGGGACGGCCAGCTCCCCGAGGTCATCTTCTACACCTAGGCTGGCCGGGGCGCTGCCCGCTGTGGGGGACAGTCAGATCCCCAGGTCACCTTGTACGCCTAGGCCGGCCGGGGCCCTGAGGTGGTCATCTACAGCTAGGCTAAACAGTGAGCTGCCCGCCGTGAGGGTCGGCTGGGTCTCCAGGTCACCTACGCCTAGGCCAGCCCAGGACACTGACCACCATGGGGGCTGGCTGGGCCCCCGAGGTCACCTTCCACAGCCAGGGGACCTCTGTGCCCTGTCCGGCCTCCACTCAGCTGGCTGTCCACCCCCACCGCCTTCCTCAGTACCCAGAAGGCCCCCGCGTCATGGTGACACCATGGCTGCCCAGCAGAGCTGCGGAGGTGGTGGAGGTGTGGGCCCCAAGCTGGGGCCCTGTGGAGACAATCCCCCGAGGCGGGACGAGGTGGCCAGCCTGCCGCAGGCCAGCGGGTCGGCCGCAGCCCGGGCCTGGTGGGCGTCCCACATCTGTCTGTGTCGTGCACATTGCAATGCATTTGGGAAGTCCCATTTCCACAGGACTCGTGGGGTGCTCTGGGGCCCTCGGTCTGGCGTTCCGTTCCTTCTGTTGGGTCAGGGACATGGGGCCTGGCCTGCCAGGAGCCCCGAATATGGGGCACTGCACCTCCAGGGCTCTGGCTTGTCCGAGAGAGGACTCAGTGCTGGCTCAAGCTGCCACCCAGGTGGGACTGTCCAGCTTCTCCCAACAGGTCCCCCGGCCACTGCAGCCCAGGGCAGGGCCTCGGGCCCCGAGTACCTGGAGGGGCGACACCGTGGGGCAGGCCAGTTGCCTAGTGCAGGTGCCCGGGGTGCCCCTGTACATACTGCAGCCACGGCCTGCCTGGAGGTGCTGGTGGGGGGGCCTGCGCCCCAGCCGTGCACCTGCCCTGTGCAGGTTTCCGGGCCAGTGAGCCCTGGAACCTGCATCCTCCCTGAAGCCATGGAAGGTGTGCCCTCGCCACACCGCACCCCGGTTTTTAATAAAGGAAACAAATACACCTGCCCCGGGCTGCTGCTTGCTTCCTGCCCCAGCACCGCCCGCCCGCCGCCCTGTAAGAGAGGCTCCACTCTAGGCCTGCTCTCTGGACAGAGGCCACCCGAGGTACTTGGGCCACTCCTGAGCATCTGCAGCCCAGGCAGGGCTCGGGCAGGCTGGGGCCTTGGTCTGGTCACGTTCCCGTGGCCTGTGGCCTCCCCGTGCTATATGGACTTGGGCAACCTGGTTAGATGGTGCCACTTCCGCCCACCCCCACAAGCCAAGGGTCAGGGAGCCGCCCTGGACACCCCGATGGGCACGGTCCACTGCCCAGGCATCTCCAGGCCTGCTGTAGGGACTGAGGCTCGAGGTGGCAGTTGGTCCCACATTCCAGAAGTGACCGTAGCCCACTCAGAAATCGCAGAACACGCAGCAGCCCAGTGGGTCGCGTGGTTACGGCACTGGGCCCCATGTGGCTTCAAGATCACGCCAGGCGACGTGTCCACCTGAGTTCCCAACATCTCAGCGGACAGGAGGGGAGGAAGGACTGGGCGGCCTCCCCCGGGTGACGCCCCACTGTTCCTCTGGTGAGTGTACGCGCCCGATAGCAAAAGGCGAGGAACGAGCCACTGTGGGGACAGACTGCCAGCTGCAGGGCCGGGCCGCGGGATCTCCCGTATTCAGGGCGGGACGTGGGCCGCGGGAGTGGTGGAGTGCAGCCAGGAGGCCACGCTGCCTCGCGCAGAGGCCCACCCTCCTGGTAAGGACTCTGGCCGGCCAGGCGCAGCGGACGGGAGCCCGAGCCACGGGACCATGCAGCCTGTGTCTGGAGTTGCAAGAGGAGAGGGCGGAGAGGGGCCCACGCTGCAGCCAAGTGCTGAGACCTGCACATCCCCGTCCACACCGTGCTGACGAAGTGGGATTTAAAACAAGCCCGGACTCCCCACATAGTCAGACTGCCCAAAGCAAGGGAAAAGGCATTAACCGGAAGCAGGAGGGGGAATGTGCTCCCGAGCTGGAATCCTGTGCCACCATCCTGGCCCCAGTGACTTAAATGCCAGGCGCCCGCGCGTGCACGCCCCAGACGCTGGCAGGACGGACAGGAGAAAGGACTGCAGCATGACCACGCCCCGGGAACCGCGCTTCGCCCCACGCCCTCTGCGTGAGCCCACGTGCCCGTCCCATTAAAAAAATAACTTTAGGGGCTGGCAAATGGCATAACGGTTACATTGCTGGACTCCCGCGTAGTTGGCTGCGGTCTGAGTCCTGGACCTGGCAGCTTGAAACTGACACGGGCGCATGTGAGTGCCCAAGATCCCGAGGAGACTGGACAAGGGACGGCGGCATGGCTGTCCCTCCAGGGGTGGTTTCTCACTTCCGTCTCTGTGTCTTCCCTGAGCACATGCGCCCTAGAGCAGCAGTTTACAAAACAGAAAAGGAAGAAAACAGGGAGGCAGGCAGCATGTTCCCATCAATAAGGACACTCACGTGGTGGGTTTAGATGCTGGAGCCGGGACCAGCAGGTAGCAGGGTGGTTTAGATGCTGGACTCCTGCATGGCTGACTGCAGTTCGAGTCCCAGACCTGGCCACTTGCTTTCGTCCTCTCTCTCTCTCTCTCTCTCTCTCTCTCTCTCTCTCTCTCGTGAGCATAGGCGCCCCATAGCAAATTCAGAGCTAGTAAGGGGCCAGCAGGTGGCGTGGTTGGTGAGGGCGCTGGACTCCCCCGTGGCCAGCCGGTTCATACCTAGACTTGGAGACCTGCGTTCCTTGCTCTCCTGCTCTCTCTCCCCCTCTCTGGTCAAATTAAAATAAATAGTGTAAAGAAACTCCACTAATAATACATAAACCAAATCATTCTTCTTTTTTGTCTTTATTTGGAGAGGATTTAGCTATAGGGCGCATGCGCTTGCCAGAGAGACAGACAGAAAGCGAGAAATCACCCCCAGGGGGGATGGCCACGCCGCAATCCCTTCTCCTCCAGTCTCCTCTCAGGATCTTGGGCACACACACACGCGCCCGGCGTGAGTTTAAGCCACCGGATCCAGGACGCGAACCGCGGTCGACTACATGGGAGTCCAGCGAAATAGCCATTATGCTAACTGCTGGTCCCAAAAGCAAATCGTTCTTAAAAGCCTACTTTGAAAAAGCCCTGCAGTTGCAGACGCGCTGTCTGACTGGCCTGACTCACGGGGAGCAGGACGAACCACCAGGGAGCGGCATGAACCACCTGGGAGCAGGACGAACCACCGGGGAGCGGCACGAACCACCGCAGAGCACACTTCAGCGCACGGGTGCTCAGGCTGCCTGACCTGACCACCTTGGCCCGGCGTGCACACACCTGGGTGCCCTGGCTGCTGGACTGGAACCTGCGCTCCACACGGGCCGGGACCGCAGTGCCCCCCGCTGCCACGCCGCGCCACGGCTGCAGTCACCTGCCCTGCCCCGGCCTCCCGCGGTACTGATTGATACCCGAGGGCCTGCAGGCCGCCAGCCGCACGGACCTACCAGGGTCTTCAGGACAGTGGCGAGTCTGCCACACCCTGAGTTGATTCTCTCTTATATGGTTTTTAAATGAATTCTTTGAGGTTTTGCCTTAGGGAGCATGCACTTTCAGAGACAGAGATGGTGAGAGGGGAAGGGAGAAATCCCCCAGGGCGAGGGCTACACTGCAATCCCTTCTCCATTCTCCTGCCAGGGTCTTAGACACACATGCACATGTGGTCAGTGTGATTTTTGAGCCACGGGGTCCAGGACTTGAACCATGGGAGTCCAGCGACATAATGGCTACACCACCTGCTGGTCCCTTTATCACTTTTTAATTAAAGGCGTAAAGTGAAAAGGCAAGCTCTCAGGTCTGGGACTGGAACCACGTTCAGCCCTGTGGGAGTCCAGCGCCCCAACCATGCCACCTGCTCGCCCCTAAGCCGGCTTTCTGTACCCTTGATACGGAAGGCCAGCCTCCCTGAAAGAGGGGCGCTGGGTTGTGAAGAGGCCCGCTGTGGCGGCAGGGTGCCCGACCAGGCCGCTGTCCCAGCTGGCTGCGCCTTGGCTGCCTGCTCGGTGGCATTTGCCCAGGTGCCTCTTTCCGGGGCAGGACTGTTCGCTGGTTCGGGTTCCAGCGCAGGCTCCGTCTGCCCTCCCTGGGGCCGGCCTCGCCAGCGCCGGGGCAGCCTGCTCTGTCCCTGCTCGGCCGCCTGGCCCTCCGCCCCTCACAAAGCCCTTCCCACTTCTAGGGTCTCCTCCCAGGGAAGCCGCCTTTCCCCTGGCCCTTTCTGTCCCTGGGGCCAACCCGGTGTGCTCCTGGGGAGGGAGGGGAGAGGAGGGCGAGGGCTCAGCCGCAGGGCAGGGCAGGGGTTTCCAGGGGTCGGGAGTGTGGTCGGACCAGCGGCTGCAGATCGGCTGGGATCTCCGTGGCCTCTGGGCGCCCCAGGGACACAGTATTCCTCCAGCCCAGCTCCGCGAGGCACATGCGGCCGTCGCCCCGAGCAGGGCATGCCCACAGACGGACCACGCTCAGGTGGGTTCGTTTTTTTATTTTTTTAAAAAAGCCCCTAAACTCTATGGCTTCAAGGAAGCATCAGAGAAACGTAAATGCCATTTCTGTACACTTTGTAAAGCAAGAACGAGACACACGGCCGCCGCCTCGGGCGCGCACGCTGGACTGCGGC